TAGAAATGCCTGGACCAATCACAATCAAACTTCACAAATACATCATACATGATATTATACATACCGGTATGTACGTCAATTTGTTTCACCACCTGATTCAAGATGGCCGAATGGCGGCCATTTTTGTGCTAAAAATCATCAAAATCAAGCATTTATAAGCTGTTTACAGATGGATTTTGTTCAAACTTGGTATATACATTAGACATTATAAGACCTTGATGCACATCATTTTGTTTTACGATCTGATTCAAGATGGCCGAATGGCGGCCATTTTTGTGCTAAAAAATCCTAAAAATCAACCATTTCTCGGCTGTTTACAGATGGATTTTGTTCAAACTTGGTATATACATTAGACATTATGGGACCTTGATGCAAATAATTTTGTTTTTTAGATAAGATTCAAAATGGCCGACTGGCAGCCATTTTGTATTAATGAATGTGGTTCTCGTGCCATATCTCTGACTTGCTTCCACTGATGTTCAAATTTATAATATTCATTACACATCATGTCATAGATAGAGAGATATATTGGTTTGACGATCCTATTCAAAATGGCCAAATGGTGACCTGTTTTGTGCTGAACAATCATCAAATATCAAGCATTTCTGGCATTTATGGATGGATTTCATTCAAACTTGGTACATACATTAGACATTACGGGTTCCTGATGCTCGTCATTCATTTTTCAGATCGGATTCAAAATGGCTGACTGGTGGCCATTTTGTTTTAATGAATGGGCTTCTAGACCCATATCTCCGACTTGTTTTGACTGATAATATTTTCAAATTTTAAATATTCATTATACATCATGTCATAGATAAACAGAAATATTGGTTTGACTATCCTATTCAAAATGGCTGAATGGTGGTCATTTTTGTGCTAAAAAATCATCAAATATTAAGCATTTATGGGTGGATTTCGTTCAAACTTGGTACATACATTAGACATTATGGGTTCCTGATGCTCGTCATTTTATTTCTCAGATTGGATTAAAAATGGCTAACTGGCGGACATTTTGTTTTAATGATTGTGCTTCTAGAGCCATATCTCTTAAATGCTCTGACAGATTTAGATTATATTCAAATTTTATATATTCGTTATACATCACGATATATATATACATGTATTCAAAATGGCTGATTTTGAATGCTGTTCCAGAGCAATATATCTCAATATGGATAAGTACTTGTTTGACGATCAGATACAAATGTCAATCATTTTAATGTTAAAAAATCATATTCCTGACATGGTTATATTCCAGCTATATTACTATAAACAAAACTATACATCTTAAATTTGATAACCAATGGGGACTGTGCCATGCATGGCTTGTCTTTCATGTTGTGCATTTCAAATAGCACCCAAATACTAGTTGCCAATCTTCTTGTGTGAAAGGCTAATCTTAAATTTTGAATTAATTTTTAGTATGTCTAAGTTTTTTTAGTGATTAAATGGGATATATGAAATTAGATTCAAAATGAGGTCAGCTTTGAGTGAAGGGCTTTCACAAAATGTTGTCTCTTGAACATCCTTTACCAAATCATAAAAATTAAATGATTAAATATTTTTCTCTGTTAGTAGCAAATGCATCTTTGTAAATGACATATACCAGTATTAATGATACAGTATACATGTGAAATAAAAGCAAATTTTGCCAAAAAATTGCTGTGACTTCTAACTTGGTAAAATTTCCATTATTACTGTCTTGTTTCACAAAATTCAACACTGTTCGACAAATGCAAATGCAAAATAAAAATGTTGACTATTCTGCCATTTTATATAAATGATTAGATTAGGCCAGACTATTTTTATTCCTTATTTATTGAGTTGTTATAAGGCAATTTTTTTGAGGAGGGCGGAAAATAAAAAAAAATTAATTCTTTTTTTTTCCCATTAGATTTATGCGATTCTCAAAGAATTGTAAGTGAGATCATTGATCAGAGAGACTTTGGTACTTTGATCATGATACTCCCACGAAAATGCAACTTGGGTTTGTTATGCGGCGGGCGGAAAAATAAAATTTTATTTTCATTTCATTTTCGTCTGTTCATTTGGCGGGTTCGCGAAACAAGGGATAATAAAAGTCGGGCCTTAATACAATTTTAAAAAATTTAAAAAAAAAGACCAAATTTTGAATATGTAATCACCATGGTAACTGATGTGTTTTATTGTTATAGATGTTCCTCAGATGAAAATGACGATAAGTCCATATCCAATATTTGTCGGTAAGTCTTGTGTATTAAGTGCATGAACATGCAAGTAAAATTATGTATCATATCATGTATTTTTTAAAATGTTGATCATGTCGCATCAATGTACATTTTTTTCAATTATAACAGAAATTAACCAAAAAAATACCTAAAAATGGGCAAAATAAAAGTATGCCCTCTACAGGTGTCTTAGGGATATCCCATTATTTCCCCTGAGCGCACTAATGCCCCTTAGAATTCAAACTTGTAAGAAATATACCTGCAGTGTTTTGAGCTAAGGCTTTTGTGGAGCAAAATGGTCCTATCAGTTCAGGCTTTAAAGCACTGCTCTGCAATCCTTGGGATAGTTCCAGTGCATGATGGTTACTATTTATGCAAACATTGGCAGATGTGTTAATCATATGCTACATCTTGCATACAATATTTGAATAAAACTGTGATTCACAATCATTTGGATAAGAGTTGTGTTTATATACTACTAAAACATATGTAGCTATACAAGATTAATTACCGCTATTTTAACGTTCGTGACACATTACAATTTGCCCCCCCCCCCTCATTAATAAATCGCCATGCATGGGTCCAGTGCCACACCCACTCCCACCGGCCCATATGTGTGCCCTATTCAATTTACCAACCATGAAGAACTCATAATTTATCACGATTGTATTAATAGAAGTTTTAATCTGAATCACTGATTTTTGGTTATCATTGTAAAATGTACCGTATATGGCATAACATTAGATTGACACCTCTTAGGGACAACGTCAAAAGATCGATGTTGAATAAAAAACTTAATTCCTTTTTTTCCAAACCCCCCCTACCTCCCACTGAAACTTAATTGATAAATATTGGTCATGGCGTCAGACTACATTCACCATTAAATACAAAATGATAATCGGACAGTAGTATTGCATAGCAGTTGGTTGTCGGGTGGGTGTAAAAAGATTTTACAAATGCACCTAAATTGAGGCACAGATTTACACTCGAAACAAACCATTTTTCTGGGGTTTTTTTCTTTTTAAGTTATTTCTGTCCATGATTGGATAGAAAAAAACGAACTACAAATACTCCAAGATTATTTTAACTTCATTAAAAAATAAAATCGTTTTTGTAGGATAGAAACTTTTTGAGGTCAAAACACCCCACCCCCAAACTAAAGGAAATAAGTTTTTTATCCGACATCGATCTTTTGACGCCGTTCCTTACTCTGCGCAATATCATAGCATATTGGAGATCATACGTCTTTACTCTTATTTGTTTAATGAGCAGTATACTGCTCTATAGTTGTCTCGATTCAAACTTTAATTTCAAAATTGTTGCCATGATACATTTGTGATTTGATTTTCCACAAATTTGTATATCAACATTTTTTCAAAGATTGATTCAATTGTGAAAATCATATCATACGTAGTAATCACACTTAACATATGCAAACTTTTCAGAGTCTAACTTAAATTATTTGTTTGTTTCATCTTGTACATTAACATTTCTACAGATGAACATAAGGAGGTGACGATCACCATTGAAACTAGGGGAAAAGCAAAGGAAATTAGAATAAGTCGAGAGCATGATAAAGAACCTACACTATGTGGTTCTCGTATGGTTATTCCTCCTTTACTCAAAGATGATGCTGGTGTCTACATCATTGATATTCTGTTGAGTCTTGATAACTACTATGATTGCGCCAGAGTAAAAATTGATGTGTTTAAAGATGTGAAAGGTAATAAATTCACATTACTATAGTAACGACACAAAGCAGATTGAAACATATCACTTATAAAGTGACTATGGTGATTGTACCAACAAACAGTCAGTGGTCAGTGATCCCCCACTCCTGCATACTTTGTATGATAACTACATATAACTATTATATATATATATATAATCCCCCAGTATTCTGAACGAATGACCTTGTGTTTAGTGGCGATATCCCTCCAAGATAAAGGCAAAGAAGGATACAGTTATACAGGTTCATAAGTTCATAATAAACATCACACAATCGGAGATACTGGGGGAGGGGGTTTATTTATTTATCATATAGACAAGTTTCAAGTAGGAATTGATTTTTAATGAAAAAATGATTGAACTACTGGACTAACTGTGGACCAAAATGTTATGACGTCCGAATGTGGACCGGCACCACATATTGAACGTGCTATTCGAAAGTCACTGTTTAGTAGCTCAGGATTTACTGTAATTTACAAAGATTTAATAATATTTAATGTAATTCAACAGAAATGTGCCGCCATAGAGTTGTGCATTTTAACTGAATGCATTTGTTTACAAGGTACATTGCAACACATTGGGCAAGTATTTCAAATTTATCACAGTTCTGTGTGCTAACACTGCAACTGACTGTGTTCTGCATGTCTGTCTAATAATGCTTTGAATGTCGTCTATCTAAATCCTGTTTTAGTGTTTTGTCATGAGTTATTATCAAAAATGCGTGTTTTGAAAAAAAAAATCAAAATCATTCACACATGCAAAATAGACACCCATTGTTTAAACCATTCAGCACGTAAAGCAGAGTTTTCATTTCGAAGTTACAAGTCTATAGACTGACATTTCATTTATTGACAACATCCTTCGGAAAGGATGAAAAGGATTACATTTAGAAACTAACAAAATTCTCACAATAAATTGACTAATTTTAATAAGCTAACAACTATACTACAACTGTACTATTTCAAAATATCAACGATAACAAAAATACTACAAAATTACAACTATAAAATGGTCTAGAACTAAAATAACAAAAGCAAAAAAAGAAAAAAAAAATGTGTTTACTAATCTACATTAAATGGATAAAAACAAGAATATATAAAAAAAAGATAATCATAATAATGTTGTTGCGTTAAATTTAGGGGAGGTGTTGCTGCCTTATTTCCATACATAATTTAATGTATTGTGCCAAAGGGATAGACATTTTTTTTTGTTTAATAACATGAATTATGACAAACTAAAAAATTTTCAAAACCTTTTTTTGGCGTCACCAATTTTGAATGCATATCTGAAGACACAAATACAAACTGCAAAGATTATTGTTAACCAGAAAAAAGAAGTTAAAATGGGAGGCCACGAACATGAATCGTTTTATGTGATCAATTATTAGTCCCCGTTCGGACGAAGTCCGAAAACGGGGACTTATAATTCGGTCTCCGTCCGTGCGTCCGTCCGGAGTCATATCTCAGAATCCCTTGGACCGATTCCGTTCATTCTTTGCATGTGCCGAGTACTTTATGTGGGACATATGCACATGCAGTCGTTTAGCAATTCGATTCAAAATGGCCGACTGGCTACCATCTTGTTTGTTGAAAATGTTGTATTTTGGACATGCTTTGTCAGTTTTCATTCAAACTTGGTACATAGATTATACATGTTAGGATACATGTCCCCGACCATCCGTGAGTTCCTGAATCTGTCCGTCCGTTCGTGTGTCGATCGGTCCGTGCGTCAGTCTGTTCAGAGCCAGAGTCATATTTCAGAATCCTGTGGACCGATTCCATTCATTCTTTGCATGTGCCTAGTACCTTATGTGGGACATATGCACATGCAGTGGTTTAGCCATTCGATTCAAAATGGCCAACTGGCAGCCATCTAGTTTTTTGAAAATGTTGTATTTTGGACATGCTTTGTCAGTTGTCACTCAAACTTGGTACATAGATTATACATGTTAGGATACATGTCCATGACGATTTATTCCGCAATTGGATCAAAGACTGGCAGGCATCTTGTTTTGTTTTTTATGCGGTATCTTGGACGTGCTCTGTCAGTTTTCATTCAAATTTGGCGCATACATGTTAGGATGCATGTCCATGACAATTTGTTCCAAAATCTGGTCAAGGATGGCCAATTGACAGCCATCTGACTATTTGGCCTTACTACTATATTTCCACAATTTATGTACCATTTTCATTCGTATTTGGCACATACATCATAGATATCAGTGTGTTTCATAATCAGATCAAAGATGGCCAAATAACGGCTGTTTTTATTTTTGGCCATATTACTACTACACGAAACACGTGTTTTGATGTAAATAAACAATCTGTTGTATACGCCACTTGGAACTCAATTTTCAAGGACACGCTCGCGACAACCCCTCTGCTTTAATATGACGAGCACAAAAAGAACTTTCAAAAATTTAACGGGGACTGTGTCATTTTCAATGGCTTGTTGATTTATTATTTTTACTTTTCTTCAGAAATGGTTTCGTCATGTAAGTTGAACATAAACGGTATTTTGGATGACATAGATATAAGTGACCTTATGAAGATCTATTTGGACCCTGATACCCATCCAACAAGGAAAAACTGGCGACACCTCGGATGTTATTTAGGGAAGCTTTCTGGCGAGCAAATGAATAACTTAGCGTCATTGGATAATAAAACCAAAGGTGTGCTTGAAGTTATCAAAAGCAAGTCACCAAATTGCACATGTGCTGAAATTGTACAATGTTTACAGAGGTGTATGATTAGAAATGACTTAGTTAATGAAATCAGCTTGCATCACAAGTGTCTTGCCTGTGATTACTTTTACCAGCATGTGTAGCATAATGTGTTGGTTTGAATTACGTAATCATTTTATTTTGGCTCATGAAATGATCCAGCTTACAATAGATGTAAACAGAGGTACATTACTTGGGGTTTGCAACGCGCATAGTACTGTATGGTGACATCATGTCAAGATCCCATTCAAGTCTCATCTCGTAAATAGCGAGACTGGTGCTATGACCTTCTAACATGAGATAGGCGGTTTGTAATAAAATAATAAAACATGTAATAAGAAAAAATGTAATACATCGAAAATGTAAAGAAAATATAGTTATCGTAATCCGTCATATCGTGAGCAGCTATTTTGATCCACCTGGACATCCCAGTATCCTAGTTACCTCGGGCATGCGCATTCGAATTTTTCTGAGTTGGAACACTTATGCGAGAGCGAGATTGAAACAGGATCTTGGTATCATGTCACCGTAGTTGCAAACCCCAAGTAATGTACCTCTGATGTAAATTAAAAGTGTTGGAGATGTGCATCTAATTAAGCAAAAAGCAGTTAGAATTATTGGAATTTTAAAACTACATTCTGTAGTTATTAATATTTCAATATTTCATAAAAAGCTGTCAATTAGCTATTTGTTGAATCCAGTTGCTGTGGGCATGCTGTCATTCGAGTTGTAGCATATAGGCAAGGCAGAATTTGATATGCCAATAAACAAGCTGCTCTCTGATTGGTCTGAGTGTTAGGTGTTTGAGTTGGGTAGCCAATCAGACATAATCTTAGAATGGTTTCTAGTCCTGGGATGATAAAAATGAGTGATGCAGTGACAAGCATTTTTTTTTTAACTTCGTTTTTTAGTTCTGTAGCTTATACATCCAGGACCAATTCTCTTCAAATTTTACACATTGCTGGTACCCTTTCCTGGTACATTGCATTGATTCAGAAATTCGATCAAACCATTCATTTAGTGTCTCATGTTCTTTTACATGTTGGGTGTCTGGTGCACATCTACTTTTTGTATATTTTGATTAAAAATGCACTTTTTTGGGGGGACATGGTCAGGCCAATTTGTTTCAAACTTAGGATGATAGTTTTATATGTTGGTTGGCTGATGTAATTCCTTTTTTTTAGCTCCGCTGTCGACTTTGTCGAGCGGAGCTTATCATATGAGTGATTGTCCGTCGTCGTCGTCCGTGTCAATT